GTACTTACTGGGGTAGGTTTACTAGCATCGCCTACACCACCGAGACCCTGGGCGACATCGGACCCCCAAGAGGGAAGTTAGAGGAAGTAATTTACTTCATATCGGATCAGTAATCCAATTTTCCGGTACTGGAGGCCTATAATGCAAATTTTTCTTTTCAAAAATTACCAGTTTTGAAAGCTGCATTGGTAACTTTATCTATATTTCTTACTTAGAATCTGAGAAAGTAACTAGTGGTGCTACAGAATGGCATATACATTCTCACACTAGTTTTCTAATCTCTATAGTCTGCGGTAGCTTTTCAGTTTTGCCCCACCCTCTTCCCAGCAGGCATGTATTGCCACCTAAAGAACATTTTATTACTTTTTTGGTCTTATTGGCAAATTTTCGTTGAAACGTTTCGAGCCTTTTTTCAGAAAATGATGTTTGAGCATTTCTGAAAATACACAATTTGGAACTCATTTTCACTGAAAACTTCATTGGAGGCACTTCTTCTCACAAATGAAGTAATAAATAAAAAATGTTTGTAATATTAGCAAAAAATCAAACACAAACATTAACTTCTGTGATGGGAAGGTTGAATTTAGGTGTGAGGCTGATGGTCAAGGGGTAAAGTATATGGTATGCTAACTTAGAACCTGTGTTTAAATCCCAGTGCAGGTAAAAAATACTTATTGATTATAAACACTTTTACACATTCATGTATTATTATAATATTGCGGAGCCATGACAAATAATATGAGAAAATATATGCTGTTGTAGTGTTACTAGTTTATTACTACTAGTTGAACCTATGCAAATATTTTAATTCATACGGTCAGTTCCTGAACTGTGAGTTATATTATTACAAAAGTCCAGTAATGTGCTCGAGGAAATCTTGTAATATTTTAATTAGAGACTTTGGCCTTTCTGACTAAATTGCACAAAATATCAAATGGTGAATTTAAACCTTTATAAATTTAATAAAAGGTTCAGAAAGGTTTTGTTTTGTAAATTATAGCTTTAGGAGTATAAATTTCAAGCCTCTGGGCCTCATAATCAAAGTTTTCAGGGAATGTTCAGAAAACAGTTGTGTACTATGTGTTTTGAGTTTGAGGATAGTGCTAAGAGGGGTCATTAAAATTATCAAAGTATTAAATTCAATTTCATACATTAAAGGCAAATATGATTGTAAAAAAAATACTGTTTACCTTGAACTTTTCAATGATATGTTACTTGAGTAACTCATGAAAGGTTCTCAAAAATCAGGTAGATTTGTCTAATGAATTATTTCTATTATTATTATTACTATTATTATTGTTGTTGTAATGAGAGCGGTCAGAAAGAATATAAATATGTTGATGTTTATTTTTATTACCAGGATGTTTTATTGGCTGAATTAGTTCGAGGAGAAAACTCGTGGGTTGATAGCTATCATGAACATGATACATTGTTAGAAAACAAGGAAGAAGAGGAACTAAATGAAGAGGAGCGTAAGGCAGCATGGGAAGATTATGAAAAAGAAAAGCAAGGCCCAAGACCATCTGGTATGTTACCTTTACAATTTTATGTAAGAAGAAATGTTTGTGATTTAGAATTATTTGTCATGTCCATCATGATATTTCATCGAGGAACCATGTAACATAATATTACTTTTTCATTTCTGTTTAATAGTGGCAATGTATGATAATTCTTCATTAATCACCTACTTAAATCAATTCGGCTACACAGAACACCAGATAAGAGATAGCATCATGAAAGAGGTAAGTATATAATAACATTGCCCATTATTTGTAGTTAAAAGTATACAATTTTCTTTACTATTAATGTTTCGTGTAAAACAAAAATTCTTTTGAGCAAATTTCATATTCCAAAATGGTATGTTTTCCAAGTACACAAGCTGTAATTTGTAACAAAATATTTAACTTCATTGTTGCATGAACAATTCATGAATGGTATCTGATACTGCTTATTTAACATTCTTAAACAAATTTTGTATTGATGTGCCATCAGAGTATTGTGAGGTCTCTACTACTTATTTAGCTTTAAAGTTCTTGCAACATGCGTATTGTAAATAATGAACACATATTCCTTGATTCTAAATTCTCAAAATAGAAAATATATTCTCTTGTTATTATTGCCCTGCTCACATACGAATTCAGTAATATAATAATCCTTGTTTATTATTATATTGCTGGCTAGCGTCCAATTACAATCTACATATCCTGATTCATGGTTATCGACATACAACTAATGTCTGCTTACGTTGACACAAATTGATGATTTCTGAAAATTTGTTCTTGATGAAAATTATTTATATAGATTGCAATTCATTACTAAATAATCAACCTTACAACAGTTACAACTTAAATAAAAGAATATAAAAAATGTTCATTGCTATCTTTGACAAAACATATTAAAATTTGAACTCAATTTTATATTAGTTCATTTTGTATTCAATAATGACCGGTTCTTTTGTGCAGTTTCAATTAAATCCCTACTTTTGAAGTATTACATGCACGTACGTGTGCATGTTTGCTATGATGTTGTGATTTACACATGCAGATTAATCTAAGAAACGTGGCTGATTACTTGCTGCTAATCCAGGTTACCACTTACAAAAGAAATTATTCTGTGTGTGTTGCATGAAAAATCAATTCATTCTAAGAAATAAAATAGTTTATTAATAAAGAGGAGCACTTCAATTGAAGCTAGTTTCATTGCAACAAGTTTTGAAGTATAATGTGTAACATATTTTAAAAAAATGGATTTTGTAGAATTAAGTAATTTGTACAAATAATACAGCTAAGATTATCATACATAGTCTGATTTGGAAAAAAAGAAGATTGGAAAAGGAGGCGAATAGTGGAGGATGGTTTACTGCTTGGTTCAATACTTTCAGTAAGATTGTTATTGGCATTATCATTTCAAAATTTATTATCTTCTTTGCTCTTTAATTTGACAAATTCATACATATTCATCCGAGAGGAGAATTAATGTTTTCTAAATACTGGTTAAAAGAAGTATAAATCTTCAAGAGAATCTGGCAACATTATTCATTTTCATATTTAAATAATTCCATCTCAGGTTAGGAGTATATTATTAACAATATTGTACACTAACCATGTTATTACTCTTGTTATTTTTTGCAGAATCCTCAGTGGTCAGATACACAAATACAATTCCATGTAGGACGAGTTCTGAAACAAATTCATGACTATGTTGCTGCACAGGTATGCATTTGTTGATAAAATGAAATAATTTGATTGTATTGCCTCTTTCTGCCATTTAAATGTATTTAGTTCAATTGTTTGTGTATTTTTGTTTTCATTACAAGTAATGAAATGAAAATCAACAGGGCAAACATTTTTTCAGAATAAATTCATAAGAAGAGTAAAAAAGAGTTGCTACATAGCAATGACTCAGACATATTCACAATAAATAGTTGAGGCAAATAGGTAGGGCAAAATAAAATGAATTAAAGAAATAACTGTAAAACAGGAATCTCCAACTGGCGACCCACGGAGCTATTTGTTGTGGCCCGCAAAAGGTTTTTAGTCAAAAGTTGAAGTCCCTGGCATTCATATCAAATGAGAACAGAAAGCCTAATGCACATACCCTGTCAAGTCAACACTCCCTTAATGTTAAAAAATGGGTTCAAGTTTGGATTAAGAATTATTTTGTAGTTAATTCAGAAATTCAAAAATATCACAATGTGTTTTACTGAGTTCTGCATGCTACGGCCTTATATTATGCATGATTCCAATCCCCCCTCTCCCATTTCAGAGCAGCCTGGCAAAGTGCTGAGATCAAGAATATGGGTAGTCAGATATGGATCGCCTGAGTAGTGAAAATATGGCCCGCAATCCTTTTAAAACTTTTAGTTGTGGCCCTTGAGGCCTTGCAAGTTGAACCCCCCTGCTGTAAAACAATTAAATTATTCAATATTTGTAAATTTTGAATGCAAGCTATAATTTAATTGCCTAGAGCCTTTTTACTGCCCTGGGCTTCTTGCTTCAGTATTCTTTTAAGAATCGATTACCACACTGGTTTCAGAGGTCTATTTCAATTTTGGAATTGCCTCAAATAATGATACTTTTTTAGGAATTCCATTGAATCATATTTAAGATTTTTTGTTTTTTTAAGTAAATATTCATTGGGTTTACATCTTATTTTCAGGAATATCGCAAACAAGTCCAAGCACAATTTAATATGAATCGAGGACAGCAGCCAATGTACTTTCATAATCCTAGTACTCAGGATATAATGGGGCAAAATCAGTATCAAAATGCTATGCAAAATATGGGAGGTGGACATATTTTAAATCAGTTGACCAGTCAGCAACCAAGCAATGCAATGCAAACTATGCAACCTCAACCTGGCTCCTCACTGGCTGTTGACAACAGTAATAGAATCAAGGTATTCTTGAAAATGTATTGTGAAGTTAAGGTTCTTATAAATCCAAGTGCATTGTTTTTATGTGATTTCTCTCATTGTGCAGGTTAAAAGTTTTGGACATATGACGAATAGTAACTTTGGAAATACCAGTCAAATGAATCAGCTGGTACCTAATCCATTTGCTTCCAAAACTGGAATTGCAGGTACTTTTTTTTAATGGATTCTTTGTTTTTATATGATACAGAATAAAGCTCTGTACTAAATGTCACAATCTGCAGATGTGCCTAAAAAGTGTCGGAACACTTTAATATTACACTTTCTCTTGATATCCCCTACAGATGTGTGCCTCAATAGGAATGAACAATGACATCGTCACAATTTCAGTAGTTTCTATTCTTATGTCTACTGAAAGGTGCAACAGTTAACAATATTTTTGTCAGTGTGAAATTATTAACTTTGTATATATTTCCCTCTTATTTGCTTTTGCTTCTTCCCTACACTGCCCATGACTCCATTTTTTAGCTGATTGCTGTAATAGAATTTTAATGTTTATAACATTATCATACTTTGCACTTATAACAATCTAGTTTCCAATATCCTTTGCTTCTTCCTTTTGTTTTCTGCACACCATTGTACTTTATATCGTCAAGGAGCTGGTGAATCTTACCTGAACTAAGATTTCTATGGTATACATTTTAAAAACTCACCCATGCAATACTTACTACACTGTAATGCAATTTCTTATAGTTTGGAGAAGCTAACATTTCCCTCCAATGGAAACCTACATTGAATTAACATATAAACAATCACACATGCCCAATGTGTTGCAATTTTCTTGCAATCACATATCAAAGGCTGGCATAAATGAAATTGTTGGAACTGTAGAAGTTCTGAGGAAATTGTGTAATAACGACAAATTCAGTTAGTTGAATGTACAAAAGTATTTACTATAACCCCAAGGCAAACTACCATCAAATATTAGTTTCATGTCAGAATGACCATGCATGGGCAGAGTAGCTAAAATATATCCCCAAAAAATATAACTTGTGTATTATACACATTAGAACTACATTGTTAATTTTACTGTTATGAAAAAATTAGACTGGCAAAATGCATTAAAGGTTATATGTAATTGTGACTGAGAGTGTCGTTATTTTAAAATTTAAAAATTCAAAGCTAATTGGTTTTCTTCATCTACTTATATTAAGTTACATTTTCACCTTAAAAACTTTGCTTTTTCTTTGTTGAATTTGTACTTGCACAAGTGTGTTTATGTGAGGGAATGCTAATATTTCTTTTCTGTTTTTATTAGCAGCTGGTGCTATTAACAAACCAACTATGCAGAAATCTTCAAACAATGGAGTTGCTGATGTTATTGAAGTGGAATGACAAAAGTAGATTTTTTTTTTAAAAATTATTATTATTTCTTTTTAAGGTAATATCTTTGACTGATGGGTCATTAATATTGAGTCTTGTTCATAATTTCATGTATTACTTTGCCTTTTTTAACTAAAAGTGTATATAATTTTAATTCTCAAATGTGGAATCAGAAGAGAACAATGACAAAATACAATGCATTTATATGTTGATATGTAGTGAGTGAAAATGATGTACATACAAATTTCATTATATTTGTTTTGTTTATTGAACATTCCTTTGCTCCTGTAATTTGTTAATGTAATTTATAGTGCTTTCTGAATTGGAAAGAAAATTTATTATGAAAGTGAACGATTACATTGCAAAAGAAGTTTGAAACATTTAATGTATGTTGAAAAATAAGACTGGCAAAATGTGAAGGTTATAACACCAGACACTTGAATACCTGAAGAATAAGCTGCAGATGAAACAAGATTTTTTTTAAAATGAAGTTTTTATATTGAATGATGTATTAAAACAAATTTATTATGAGAATTTCCCAGGCACAACTCTCATGAAATTACTTATGAAGCATACAGTTCTATAGTGTAACATAGAAAGAGAGTACTTTAGAGACTAAACAAGAAACTTACTTCTCTGAAGGAAAATTTGGTTTTGAATGGTTTGTGCATAAGATAATATGCCATCTGTAACTTATTCCAGAATTTCAAAAACAGTTTTTTAGGATGTGATATGTTAATGAGCTAATATCAAATGTGTAATTTACTTTTCTGATTATGTATCATTAATGTTATTGTCCCCTTTTGTGTTTATCAAGTGCTTGCCAATTTTGTTATAGTGTTAAGATATGATTTAATAGCATAGAAAGATAATATTTTTAGAAGTTAAATTGGATTAACTTGTTTTCTGTGTATGTGAAACTTTGTGTGAGGTAGTAACTTCTATGTGGTGTCAATAACTAGTAAGTCAGTTCCTGATAAATATCTTGCCCCACTGAATAAGATGGTGTGACAAGTATTCCCTTTTTTTCTTTTTCTAAAAGGTAATTTGATATTCATGACCAGTATTCTATTGTCCAATATATATTAAATAGAATTGATGTTTCATGTAATTTAAGAGTTTATTTAATTTTTTGTATCCCAAACCATAATATGCTAAACAAGTAGGTACTGTATTTAACCGAATATAAGACGGATTTTTTTCCGTCTTATACTTGCAGATTATGCCTAGTTGATTAGAATTTAATTTTTTTACATTGCCAATCCTTGTCATGAAACTCGTCAATGTTGAACGCGTAACAATAAACTGCGAAGAGGGTAAAAATATCGCGCGTAACAATTCGTAATTATATTTGCTTTCGCGGTATCCGCCGCGAATTTGTCGGACAATTCAGGCCGATATTTTTGAATAGGCTGGCAAGGAGAATCTCTAACCGAATGGCATTGTATCAAATTAAACGTAACGTGAAAATGAGTGCCGAGAGATTGTTACACGATGCGTATTAGAGGAGGCCGCGAGGAATTTCGATTCGTCGCCCAGCGAATTCGAATCTGAACAGGAACAGAGGCCATCAACAAGTGCGAGGCGGATAGGAAACTTGGCAACAGAAGTGTTTGATGAAAGACTAGAACAACTCAAACTTTAATCCGCAGAACTTTCAAGAGGGGACTTAAAAGTGGGACAGTGACAGAGCATGGAAGGAGAACCAAAAAAGAAAGAAACATTGATATATATATATATATATATATATATATATATATATATATATATATATATATATGAAGATGGTAAGGGTAGTGACAAAAATGATGATTATATTAGGGAACAAGAAATTAATACTTCAACATTTACTTAACATTTTCATCAACAAGGCAATTTTCTAGTCAATAAGACATTTGGTAATTTTAACAAAATAACAAGCATTAGTTAAAAATTCTGAGGAGGCCTCTTCAAAATTAGAGGGTCGAAGTATATTCGGGTAAATACGGTACTAGCAGGCTGAACTCTAAGGAAGCACTGTGGGATGCGGTATTGGGTTAAGACTATTCATTTCACCTTTTGAACAAAATAACATTGTTATTGAACCATTAAAATCACAAATACACGTTAATTTAGGAGAGCACTGAGCACACGTTTTGCATCTAACCATCGTAGTCCAGCTGTCCATTCCCTTCAAGTGTTGCCCAGTTGTCTTACCGCGTCGCTCTTTTTCTTCGGCGGCAAATCCCAAAAAATCCTCAGATTCCCACATTCATCCGTCCTGACAATCACGCCGATTATTAATAATCATGGGGCCATGGCTGCATGTATTCGGCGCACGTGGAAGAATTCCTGGGACCCTCGTGATCACCTTCCCGCCGCACATCATGTGTCATTAACTCTAACTGTAGTAATTCGATATGATCCGAGATTTTTCGCCTTCAGCTTCGAATTTGGCCCAAACTGGATGCGCTTCATGACCACTAAATCGCCAACTTAGAAGCTCTCCTTCTTCGCTGGTTGAAATTTGCTCTATTTTGTTCCTGTACCTATAAAATTTGAATTTTGGCGTCTTGTATCTTCTCATAGCATCGTTCTTGTAATTAACCTATGAGTCCATTTTAAACCTTGACAACATGTAGACCTGTTTTACTATACATCTTAACTCCTGTTAATTGCTCAAATGGGAATCTTCCTATACTCCTGGGACGTGGAATTGATGGCACGTTGAGCGTGGAATGAGACGTGGAATTGAGCGCACCGCGTGATTCCGTTTCGTAGCATTGCCAATACTTAGCTTTGCGGTGACGTATGCTATAATGGAATTGATCCGCTCGACCTGTCCATTAGCTCGAGGATGTCCCGTTGTAATCAGAATGCGTCGAATCTCCTCCGATACAGTAGTTATTGCATTCTTGAGATGTAAATGATGTCCCTCGGTCGGTGATAATTGGAATAGGATTTCCAAAGTTTGTTTTCTGCTGCTCCATCCTTTTGATTGTCTCTGACGTCTTCGTTGTTTTCACAGGGTAAAGCCATGTAAATTTTGTAAATGCGTCGACAATGTTTTCTATGTGGTTATACTCTTTGTTAGGTGACTGGGAGGTCCAATGAAATAAGTGTGGAGCGGCTCACTTTCCTTGAACAGTGGATGGAGGATCCCTTCCTTTTTGCCTGATTTTGTGTTGATTACTAAACATTTGATGCAATTGGATATCACTCTACCTTATCTGTTAACTCCGGAATGTAAAACTCTTGCTTCACTTCTATCCGGCGTAATGTCCTTTTCGTGAATGGTTTTAATTCTTGCTGCATCTGTCGAGGTATCACTAGAGTTTTCTGTCCACAGTTGACCTTGAACAGAGTCTATCTCTGACGACAAAGTCCTCGTATGTTTTTTTTTTTTTTTTTCAAAATATCTCTTATTGCCATTAATCCTTGGTCTTTCTCCTGGGTGTTCTTGATTCTCACGTCGAGACTGTCTGAGAAACCAGAGAGTACGGATGTACAGCGATTAAAAGCATCCACATGCTTCGTTCTTGTGCCTGGTCTGTGCTTGATGGTGTAAGAATATTCCTCTAATTCCATCGCCCAACGCGCAACTTTTGGTGACAAATTCTTCTTGTCCATGGTGCTTTGGAAGGTAAAGCAGTCAGTTATGATTTTAATCTATACCTAGCGTGTATACTCACTTTCTCAAGGCTTTAATGACTCAAAACTTCAAGCTCGTAACTTCAATATTTTTCTTCTCGTACTTTAGTTTTCTAACTCATGTAGAGAACGAGGTGGAGTTTATCTTCTGAAGATCTTTGCAACAAAACTGCCCCATATCCTTGTTGCTAGCATCCTTATGCTGTCCCGTCTCGTATTTTTGGTTGTAAATCTTCAGATCAGGGTCTGATGAAAACATGCAATTATGTTGCAATGGTTTTGCAATCAAGTAGTTCGGAATGAATTTTCTAAAGTATCCCGTTAATCCAAAGATATTGCACCGCGGCGATCGTCTTTTGTTGTAGAAATTCTCGAACTGCTTTCGTCTTTTCCGAAGAGCGTTGAATAGTATACTCCAAAATTGTATGCTTCTCTTTAAAAATGGATTTTCCCACAATTTATTTCTAACCCGCAATCTGCAGCTACTTTCAACACACAGTTCAGTCTAAAGCTCTAATACCTCGTTATCGTCCACCGCCGGTATGGTGATATCGTCCAAGTAAATAAACAAAATATTTTCCAGTCAACGTGCAGAACACGGAATTTATGAAGCATTGGAACACTGCAGGCGAGTTGCACAGACCAAAAGGGACCTTTGTAAACTGAAACTGGCCTGAATGCGTCACAAAAGCGGTATTCTTTTGACTTCCTTCCTCGACGTCCACGGGAAAGAACCCATTTCTCAGATCTAATGTGTAGAATACAGAGGCGTCCTACAACTGGTCCAAAAGATCTATTAAAGGCAACGGATGGTGATTGTCATAATCGTGTCGGTGTACTGTACGTTAGTTGCTCCTTCACACAAATCTCCGTCTGGACATCTATTCTCTTCGTCCTCTTTGGAGCGTAATTGGCTCATCTTTAAATAGCCCTGAAGGTAATCGGTGGCAGCGCAATGTATTGTGAAAGCTGTACAACTTCCAAGGATTGGTGTGAAAATAAATCTCCAAAAATATAAATAATCCCGCTTTACACGTAAGCAGTTTCCTTGCGTGTGACAAGAGGAATTTGTGAACATTTTGTACCAGTGATCGTGAAGAACATTGCTGCTATGTAATGAGAGGCCCAAGTGCTTGAATTCAAAGCCTATGAATCGAAAAGTTCTATGTTTGTAATGCGGATCTCCGTGTAGTAGTAACACCCCTGGATATAGAAAACCTCCACATCGAGCTTGTGATGTAGTGTCATGGCGCCCAGAGTAGTCTTGTGCAACAGCGTTGTTTCAACATGGACAGCTGTCTGGGTAGGATCGATGTGTAATTCGAAAGCTGTGAAGATTCTAGACGCTCATGCCAATTGGTAAAGATATTCACGTTAAGAATTACTGCTAGCATATCAGTGCTTTTTCTTTTAAAACGCCGTAAGTATGTGCTGTACCAAACTGCTGAGGAAATTACCAAGGAGGGCCTAAAGTTCACGTATTTGATTTCCCAAAAGATAACTAACTGCGACGAAAATGGCTTGCTGCTATACTTCTCCATTTATTGACTGCCCCACTTATCTTCCTAGAACCGAAACAAGGTGATGAACTCTAGCAGAGAAGTAAAGAATACTGGAGAACTTTTAACTGGCTTTGGTGTTGCTGCTAGTGTGGTTTCGCAGGAAACTTTTTAACCGACAGTTTTCTTGTTGAACGTTGGAAGATTTAATGAAAAATTGAAGAAAGATACAGTGTCTCTATTTTGGACCATTTTAAATCAAAGAGATGATTGTTTTCTAAAAACTAGTGTGTAACATCATCCAGTGATTTCTCTTTTTATACTTATAGATAGTGGGTCATATGATTAAAAATGAACACTTCGGAGTAAAGTAAGTATATTCCGCGGGACTGAGGAAAAGCTCCTTTTCGTAAACTACGTCACCGAAGAACTTGATCTTGTCTCGCGAGCATTTTCTTATTGTGAACAAGTGATAGTGCAGGCTAAGAGTTTTAACAATTGGTTTCATGAGTAACATAGAGATTATATACGTTACGCGCGTCGCGCACATTTGTGCGGAGCAAAGGGCACTGCTTTGTTGTCTCCTTCTTTAAATTCGAATATGAGTAGCAGTAACGAAGAACAGGCACCAGACAGCTAGTTTTTGCCGAAATGCTAAGCGAATATAAACTTATTTTTGAGAAGAGTCAGCTTCCGAAACGAAACATTACAAAGTTTGAAAAACCTCGAAAAATTCCGAGTAGAAAAGATGCAATTAACATAGAAGATATGCAATAAAAAAACGCGCCTGAAAGCAAAGTCCGATAAAAATCGTACCAACCATACATTGTCATTTTCGAATCGGTATAGATTCTAATGGTCTACATCACGAAAATTTCACCTTATCTTGTAATATTTTTTACTCCGCTGCATCTGCATATCAACACACGGTAAAAAAATCGGCCAATTTAACCTCATTTTTCAAACGAGAGTCTGCTACT